CTACTTTAGGGCCTATGGGTAGTACTAAACTCGACAACAAGAAGTCAAGGCTTCATGAGATTCGCCGTGGGACCTCCTAGTCGCTCACTTTAAGTAGACGAGCCCAGGGATACTGAAGCTATGTGAACCTCCTCGTATCTACGGGACATTTGGGGATATCTTTCTTGATGGCGCTCGTGAAACCGAGCCGCTCCGTTTGCTTCAGGGAGCGCATGCCGCACTGACACCTCAAACCTCAATTGCCTGCAACAGTGTTTTGTTGCAGCATGGTGTTGCGTTTTGCATTTTCCGTGTCGACGTTCTCGCCGGCTCAAGACCGACTGTGTCGGTTCAATGCAAGTGTGTATAAGCCAGTACACCAGCATCACGAACAAATTAGTGCAATCATCGGCATCATCACCATCGTCTTGACTGCATCGCCCGTGACCATACTGTCATAGCATGTCCTGCCAAATTCCCCTGTTTGGGCTCGAAGTTCCTGGTTCTGTGCACGGGTTCGAGAATGAGTTCAGTGGCTTTTTGAGGTTCTCCCATTCGTCTAGCTTTCCAGAAACCTGCTTGCCTACTATGTATACGCTGTCTATCTATCCATTTATTTCTCTGTCTATCTGACTGTGTTTATCAACTCGTAACCCTGTAGGCCAAGGACTCGTGGGTGGTTCAGAAAGTGGCCTCTAGACCCTGAACCCCTAAACCCGTGAACCCTTAAACCCTAAATCCCTAAACCCCTGAACCCTAAAGCCCTAAACCCTAAAACCCTAAACCCGTGAACCCCAAACCCCTAAACCCTAAACCCGTGAACCCTAAAACCCCTAAGCCCTCACCTCAAAGGACTTCCGCTTCTCCGACGACTTGCAGCCCTACACCCTTGTAAGCCAGTTGGCCAAGAGTCTTCAGGAGTACCCGCCGGAGCAGGTGCTGGGGTTTGGGCTGTAGTGTTTAGGGTTTAGGGCTTAAGGTTCGGGTTTAGGGTTTAGAGTTTAGGCTTTAGTGTTTAGGGTTTAGGTTCGGGTTTGTGGCTTGGGGACAGCGTGCCAGAGGGGTGTCGCGGTCCTCGTTTCTGTCTTTTTGTGAGCATGCAACGGGTGTGATTTCCGCTGCGGTGTAGTTTTCAATATTGCAGCTGCAAGCTTTGATCAGAAGCGAAGTTGCTGTGGTTTCCGGGCCCCACTTTTGGAGAACAAAGCTTCTGAAGTTCGAATGCTGGCAGGAGAAAGTTGGCCTGGATCCCCAGTCTTATTGTCCGAGCCGGCATTACCTGCATTGTAGATGTTCATCTGTTGTTGTCACATACTGTTTCTGAAGGCTCTTCATGCTCACGTGACGGTGGTACTGCTGGCGGTGCTGGCAGTTGATCTGCGGATGTTCTTGTTGTGATTCTGCTGACAGTTGTCTCAGTTGCTACTTGTGCTGGTGCTCCTGTTGTTGTTGTTGTGGTGGTGGTGGTGGTGGTGGCGGTGGTGGCGGTGATTGCTCTGTGATGGAACCACTCACACTTGCACTGGGACTTCGGTCGGGGTCGCTCCTTCGCTCTTACTCAGGACCTGCCTGCCAAATCATATTTCCTACTTGGACCCAACCTTAAACGACACTGCCCTAAGCTCCACACCCTCCACTTCCGATGTGACGGGCTCCTCCTGTGGCACCAGCTCCCATTCCTCCAGTTCCTGCCTCATATTAGAAACTCTTCAACTTGCCCCACCGCTTGTGGTCGTTGTGGTGCTGGTAATGCTGCTCAACAAGCCGCTCTTGTTCATGGAATTGGTATGTCGTGCTCGTTTGTCGAGGTGACTGTGCTTCACATGTTTTCTTGTGTTTTGGTAGGCATAACTTTTGATTTTTATTTTATCAGATGTTCTTCTGCCGCGTTGGAGCTGTTGCTTCCTTTATGCGTTATTCGTGATGTGTTTGCTAGGCAGGCAGCGGTCGTCCTGCATCGACGCGATTCGCAACTAAGCTTAGTTTCCGAAGTGCGGACTGTTCGTGTTGTGCACTTTGTTGTTAAGCCAAAATTAAAAGCACTACAACATAAATTTGTAGGCAAGCCCTAGAACCTGCCCAGTCCTGTGCCTTACACCATGCACCGGCAGGTGCTGTCTGCCCCTTATCGGATACCGGAGATGGACTGGCGTGCCTGCGGGCATAAGAAACGAATTCTCGTGATTCTGCTAGGGTGTAGGGTGCAGGGGTCGTTGGATTTTTCGGTTATTCTATTTGTGACTTATTTGTTGGTACTGAGGGTTGGGTTTAGATTTAGATGTATTCCATCTTGTGGCTTTTCGCGCATCACCACCCGGGTTCATTCATTCTCGTCTTGCAATACAGATCTCAGCTGCAAGGTCTTGAGGTTCCCGAGCTCCGAAAACTCTCGGCTGAAAATTTCCAAGCCCAAAACCCTAAACCCTAAACCATCTATCAACCCTACAGCTTCTCGGCTTGGGATCAATTCCAGCTTCCCTTCTTCCATTCGGAGTCATTTGCCCTGCTGCAGAGAGCCTCTTGAGTTTGAGCATCAACAACCCATTGGCGATGCTTGGGTAAGTTATATAGAATAATAAGAATAGTCATCCCAATCCTAAAACAATCATAGTAATAATAATAACAATAATAGTGGTTATTATAATAGTAATAACAGTAATAATCATGGTAAGCTATATAGAGCCTTCGGGAGCTGCCACGCGGGAGCCAAAATAATAATAGTAATAGATCAGTAATAGTAATAGTAAGAGTAATAGTAATACTAATAGTCATCATAATACTCATAATGAGGATAATAAGAATAGTGATAATAATGACTAATTTGTATAATTAGTTATATATATATATATACATATTTATTTATGTATACATAAGGGTCAGAACAAACTGGTACATTGCTAGTTGGAAATTCTTTGTAGCGCACATATGGTCATGTTCTATACAAATAATGCGTATTTTTCTGCGATACCCCAATACCAATACCCTACTGTCAACTATTATGGCATGACAGCCCCTGTGTTATGGCATGTGCAACACGTGCCATGTGGAGGACACAGACAGGATCCAACGCTTTCTGGGAAATCTAAAGGCCGCCTGGCAGTGACCGCTCTCAGTCGATTCCCAGTCGATTCCAAGGGGCAAGTATCCAGCATCTAAGGTATGTTCGGGAATGAAAAGATGCTGGGCTCTCTGAGAAATCGGTTCTCTAAATTTCTAAATCAGAGACATGTTGGGCTCTCGAAGGAATGAATTCTCTAAGTCAGAGCTGCGTTGTACCTTGGACCAAACGAGTGATTGCCGTACCTTTTACCAGTACACGGATCCTGAAAGGAACGCTTGTGTAGAGAACCTCCCAAGTAGACTGAATTTTCACGTGGGACAATCAGGCATGTATGGGTTTAGAGTTTAGGGGTTAGGGGATGAAGGTTTTATGCTTTTTTATTAAGCAACCGTGCAAAAGCCATAATCCAAGCTGGGCGTCCGCAACGCCATCTTCCGGGACTTGTGGCACTCTTATTATCGTCGCCCTTATAGTGGTAGTTTCCGTTATGGCCCCTTACGCCATGATATCCGTATAGTAGCCCATGATGCTTGAGACAGTGGGCCTGGTGGCCCATTGCTCGCTCGGATTTGCTGGCACTGAGCTGGGGCCTTGCACTGAGCCCCCTGAACCCACCGAACCCGCGAACCCTCACACCCTTAAGATACTGCAGCACAATACAGTTCAACAGAACAGAACCTGTGACATAACATAAGGTAATACTGTAACATCATAGAACTTAACATAACACGACACACACACACATATACATATGTGTGTGTGTGTATATATATATATATTTTTCGTAAGCTTGAAATATCTTAGGTCGAGGGTGCTCGGGTCGAACTGGTCGCCAAGAAGCTGGAAGGGCGCTGCAGTTCAGAGGCGCGTCTTCAGCTCAGGGTTTGGGATGTAAGTTTGAGTTGGGCTCAGGGTTTAGGGATTATTTCGGATCTAAGATTATTGGGGCTTAGGCTTAGGGTTTAAGGATGACTTCGGGTCTAACAGCTTTTAGTTTGGGTTTAGGGCGTTTAGGGTGTAGTGTAGGGGCCTAAATAACTACTAATA